CCACATCAAGGCTGGTGCGGGGAGCTCCCCACCCCGGTAACCGCGATTGCCCTCGGGCCGGCCTACACTCCCTTTGCCGGCGTATACTTATTTAGCGTCCATGCTAACGCCGGCGCTACGCGTGGGAGAACCGGATCCACAGGCCCCATGGACCGCACCTGTGTGAGCACAGGCCGCTCTCCGGAAACCAGCGGTCCCTCGTCGCCTGAATGCACCGACCCCCAACGTTGGCGACCGTCGCGGAGGCAACCCCCGCCACGAACGGGGTGTCCTTCGTGCACGGTTACTCAGGCCGCAGGGCGTCACGCGATGGTAGTAGCTCACTTCTTTGAATCCGGCCAGCGACGCCGTCTACGTTGGGGCCGAGTCGAGAGCGCACCGCTAATGGCCGGCGCAGTAGCGCTGGCCAGCACAGGGTACATAGCTGCGATCGACGAAAAGGCCTGGGCGGGGCCACGTCGGCTCGGCCCGGGCGTCCAGGGTTCCCCACAGCGTGAGCCGGCATTGCCCACGGAGACAGCTCGAGAGCAGAGTACGCGAGGCGCAAGGGCGAGTCATCCTTTTGGAGCGGGGGCTGGATCGCAGCCCAGTTGCGGCCGCCGGGGACAGGCTGTAGTCCGGCGAACGGTACCCCTGAGGAGCTTAGACGACTGGCTCGTCCCTGCGTGTTATCAATAGCCTTTACCGCTCCGGTTCTACTATGATTTACCGAAACGTCCGCCAAAAATCTCTGGGGTGCTTACGCATCGAACAGTAATACGAACATACTAGGGCGTCCCGCAACTGGTCGAGTAACTTCCCGGCGGATCGTGGGGGGGGGGGGGGGGGGGGGGGGGGGGGGGGGGGGGGGGGGGGGGGGGGGGGGGGGGGGGGGGGGGGGGGGGTCGGGGGGGGGGGGGGGGGGGGGGGGGGGGGGGGGGGGGGTGGGGGGGGGGGGGGGGGGGGGGGGGGGGGGGGGGGGGGGGGGGGGGGGGGGGGGGGGGGGGGGGGGGGGGGGGGGGGGGGGGGGGGGGGGGGGGGGGGGGGGGGGGGGGGGGGGGGTTCGGGGGGGGGGTGGGGGGGGGGGGGGGGGGGGGGGGGGGGGGGGGGGGGGGGGGGGGGGGGGGGGGGGGGGGGGGGGGGGGGGGGGGGGGGGGGGGGGGGGGGGGGGGGGGGGGGGGGGGGGGGGGGGGGGGGGGGGGGGGGGGGGGGGGGGGGGGGGGGGGGGGGGGGGGGGGGGGGGGGGTGGGGGGGGGGGGGGGGGGGGGGGGGGGGGGGGGGGGGGGGGGGGGGGGGGGGGGGGGGGGGGGGGGGGGGGGGGGGGGGGGGGGGGGGGGGGGGGGGGGGGGGGGGGGGGGGGGGGGGGGGGGGGGGGGGGGGGGGGGGGGGGGGGGGGGGGGGGGGGGGGGGGGGGGGGGGGGGGGGGGGGGGGGGGGGGGGGGGGGGGGGGGGGGGGGGGGGGGGGGGGGGGGGGGGGGGGGGGGGGGGGGGGGGGGGGGGGGGGGGGGGGGGGGGGGGGGGGGGGGGGGGGGGGGGGGGGGGGGGGGGGGGGGGGGGGGGGGGGGGGGGGGGGGGGGGGGGGTGGGGGGGGGGGGGGGGGGGGGGGGGGGGGGGGGGGGGGGGGGGGGGGGGGGGGGGGGGGGGGGGGGGGGGGGGGGGGGGGGGGGGGGGGGGGGGGGGGGGGGGGGGGGGGGGGGGGGGGGGGGGGGGGGGGGGGGGGGGGGGGGGGGGGGGGGGGGGGGGGGGGGGGGGGGGGGGGGGGGGGGGGGGGTGGGGGGGGGGGGGGGGGGGGGGGGGGGGGGGGGGGGGGGGGGGGGGGGGGGGGGGGGGGGGGGGGGGGGGGGGGGGGGGGGGGGGGGGGGGGGGGGGGGGGGGGGGGGGGGGGGGGGGGGGGGGGGGGGGGGGGGGGGGGGGGGGGGGGGGGGGGGGGGGGGGGTGGGGGGGGTGGGGGGGGGGGGGGTGGGGGGGGGGGGGGGGGGGGGGGGGGGGGGGGGGGGGGGGGGGGGGGGGGGGGGGGGGGGGGGGGGGGGGGGGGGGGGGGGTGGGGGGGGGGGGGGGGGGGGGGGGGGGGGGGGGGGGGGGGGGGGGGGGGGGGGGGGTGGGGGGGGGGGGGGGGGGGGGGGGGGGGGGGGGGGGGGGGGGGGGGGGGGGGGGGGGGGGGGGGGGGGGGGGGGGGGGGGGGGGGGGGGGGGGGGGGGGGGGGGGGGGGGGGGGGGGGGGGGGGGGGTGGGGGGGGGGGGGGGGGGGGGGGGGGGGGGGGGGGGGGGGGGGGGGGGGGGGGGGGGGGGGGGGGGGGGGGGGGGGGGGGGGGGGGGGGGGTGGGGGGGGGGGGGGGGGGGGGTGGGGGGGGGGGGGGGGGGGGGGGGGGGGGGGGGGGGGGGGGGGGGGGGGGGGGTGGGGGGGGGGGGGGGGGGGGGGGGGGGGGGGGGGGGGGGGGGGGGGGGGGGGGGGGGGGGGGGGGGGGTGGGGGGGGGGGGGGGGGGGGGGGGGGGGGGGGGGGGGGGGGGGGGGGGGGGGGGGGGGGGGGGGGGGGGGGGGGGGGGGGGGGGGGGGGGGGGGGGGGGGGGGGGGGGGGGGGGGGGGGGGGGGGGGGGGGGGGGGGGGGGGGGGGGGGGGGGGGGGGGGGGGGGGGGGGGGGGGGGGGGGGGGGGGGGGGGGGGGGGGGGGGGGGGGGGGGGGGGGGGGGGGGGGGGGTGGGGGGGGGGGGGGGGGGGGGGGGGGGGGGGGGGGGGGGGGGGGGGGGGGGGGTGGGGGGGGGGGGGGGGGGGGGGGGGGGGGGGGGGGGGGGGGGGGGGGGGGGGGGGGGGGGGGGGGGGGGGGGGGGGGGGGGGGGGGGGGGGGGGGGGGGGGGGGGGGGGGGGGGGGGGGGGGGGGGGGGGGGGGGGGGGGGGGGGGGGGGGGGGGGGGGGGGGGGGGGGGGGGGGGGGGGGGGGGGGGGGGGGGGGGGGGGGGGGGGGGGGGGGGGGGGGGGGGGGGGGGGGGGGGGGGGGGGGGGGGGGGGGGGGGGGGGGGGGGGGGGGGGGGGGGGGGGGGGGGGGGGGGGGGGGGGGGGGGGGGGGGGGGGGGGGGGGGGGGGGGGGGGGGGGGGGGGGGGGGGGGGGGGGGGGGGGGGGGGGGGGGGGGGGGGGGGGGGGGGGGGGGGGGGGGGGGGGGGGGGGGGGGGGGGGGGGGGGGGGGGGGGGGGGGGGGGGGGGGGGGGGGGGGGGGGGGGGGGGGGGGGGGGGGGGGGGGGGGGGGGGGGGGGGGGGGGGGGGGGGGGGGGGGGGGGGGGGGGGGGGGGGGGGGGGGGGGGGGGGGGGGGGGGGGGGGGGGGGGGGGGGGGGGGGGGGGGGGGGGGGGGGGGGGGGGGGGGGGGGGGGGGGGGGGGGGGGGGGGGGGGTGGGGGGGGGGGGGGGGGGGGGGGGGGGGGGGGGGGGGGGGGGGGGGGGGGGGGGGGGGGGGGGGGGGGGGGGGGGGGGGGGGGGGGGGGGGGGGGGGGGGGGGTGGGGGGGGGGGGGGGGGGGGGGGGGGGGGGGGGGGGGGGGGGGGGGGGGGGGGGGGGGGGGGGGGGGGGGGGGGGGGGGGGGGGGGGGGGGGGGGGGGGGGGGGGGGGGGGGGGGGGGGGGGTGGGGGGGGGGGGGGGGGGGGGGGGGGGGGGGGGGGGGGGGGGGGGGGGGGGGGGGGGGGGGGGGGGGGGGGGGGGGGGGGGGGGGGGGTGGGGGGGGGGGGGGGGGGGGGGGGGGGGGGGGGGGGGGGGGGGGGGGGGGGGGGGGGGGGGGGGGGGGGGGGGGGGGGGGGGGGGGGGGGGGGGGGGGGGGGGGGGGGGGGGGGGGGGGGGGGGGGGGGGGGGGGGGGGGGGGGGGGGGGGGGGGGGGGGGGGGGGGGGGGGGGGGGGGGGGGGCGGTGGGGGGGGGGTGGGGGGGGGGGGGGGGGGTGGGGGGGGGGGGGGGGGGTGGGGGGGGGGGGGGGGGGGGGGGGGGGGGGGGGGGGGGGGGGGGGGGGGGGGGTGGGGGGGGGGGGGTGGGGGGGGGGGGTGGGGGGGGGGGGTGGGGGGGTGGCGTAAATCTCGAACGCACGAGTTTCGAACGACACATAACATGCTACGGGATTGAGTCCCGTGTGTGCGCATCGCCTGACGCCACTTAGTGAAGTCTCCATCCGTCAACAAACAAGCCCCAGACAAGTTTCAGACCATCTGACTACTGTGCGCGGCGTGTAGTTCGAACCGAGATTACATGGCTACTATACTCTTGGGTTTCCACTGCAATATACTTTGCGTATAAGTTATTTTAAGTCATATAGCTTTACAGCGAAAAGAGAAAGTTTCTAATTTATCTTTAGATATTTTCAAGGATATTCTATCACTATAAAATCGTATTATCTCTTTTCGCCACTGAAAATAAACAGTATTTCATTATTATGAAAATATGATTAAATAAAATTATTTCCAAATTTCGTAACTTTGTTTAAAGTTATATAATTTAGGAACTTAGTGTACTATATGTAACTATGGATCATATTACTTCTAAGTCTTATATTTTAAGTATTATTTTGTTCGCATTCCTTTGGTTATCTTAGTAAAAATGTCTTGAATAAGTATTGTGTGAGATTTTAATTAATTAATTTTTAATAATGTCAAGCTATAATCATATGCCAATGTCTTAAATACTTAGTACATAAACTTTTATAATGCAACGTCTAAGCATCCTTATAAGTTTAATTCCAATTCTATATAACACAACATCAAATTAAATACCGTGAGTAAAATTATTGAACAATTAATGGACATGGCAAAAATAAATGATATGCCTGTGTCCGCGTGTATAGCAAGCATAATGCATACAGGTGTGCAGGGATTACTTTAGATAAGTTATATGTCAAGCTACGTTGAGATGACCTAGACACGGG